AAATTCTTGAACAATACCTGCACATCACCACCCAACATGGATGCATCCACATGCATTTGTTATTAGGTCTTTGTTCCCACTTGCAAATATTCAGGCATAAGCAGGTGAAATTTCTTTCAGCCTGATTTTCAAGCGGATTTCTGCTTGATTCTGAATGTTTTTGTTTCATGTGAAACACCCAGCGGGACAGTCCCTTTTACTTTTGACAAAATCTGATTTACAGTGCAGCTACTTGTTGAAAACACCATGCTTCTCACTTCCTGTCTGCAGCCCTTCCTCATATTATTCTCTCAATCATTCTTCTTTTGTCACAAACTGTCGAACATATGTTGAAGGAGCGATCTCCTCCCTGTGCACTTGTGTATGGGTTTCTTTTTAGCATGCACCACGTCCATTCTCTTCTCTATTGCGGCAATTAGACCTGCTTCATTTCAGCCGGCGGCGTCACGCTGGTAGTGGACACTCTTTAATCATGTGTGAGTGTCTGTCAACAGAGAGCAAAGGAAGAGCAAAAAACAAAGGCTGGACAGGTCCAGTGGGGCCAGGTTCTGGGATGAGTGAGAGCGCCTCTTTCAGCAGGGGGGGGGTTGAAATGGTGTGCTCTCGTCAAACCACCTCTTTACATTAGCATATGTTTATGTACGGTGGCCGTAGCTGAGCTTTATTTGTAGGCTGTTTTTAACCTTTAACAATAAAAAGACTTAAACATAGTGAAGATTATTCAAGACTGTTTTTCTTTACAGCTGGTTTACAGCAGACAGTTAACAAGTCCCCTTTCCTGTATACATTTATCCGTATATGTTTCCCTTTTGTGATTCTGACAATTGTGTCTGATTTTGTGAGAGGTTTGCAGGGGGTGAGGGCCTCCTAAAAAACCCATGTTTTATGCATGAGGGCCAAGGGTGGGGCCCGCTAGGGGTGTGTGTCAGAGGACACACACAAGAGCCAAATCAGCGTGCACCATGAGTACTTGGCAAAGATGCACAAGATGGCTCCTTTAGGCAGTGGTACCCTTTTTGTTCTTTAATGTTTAAGTGTCTCAGGAAATTCGAACATCACCGTACATTATATAAACCACTGTTTTTTGTGATTCACTCCTCTGTTTTAAAATCATCTTTAATACCCATGCAAAAATCCCATTGATGAAAATTACAATTTGTTGAAGTCAAAGTCTTCCAGCCATAGATACAGATGTGTTCACAATGATTGTGCAAATGAAGCTTAGAACTGAAATATCTTTTATTTCAACACGGTGGCTAACCTGAAGAGAAATGGCACAACATTTTGTAGAGTGATGAAAGCAAAATTGCTCTGTTTGAGGCCACAGACGACCCCCAAACGCTGTGCAGGCATGGCGGCTTCGGCATCATGCTCGGGGGGATGTTTCTCAGACTATGATGTTATCAGTTTAAATGAACCAAAATTATTGTAGAGGTCACATTGTCCAATGCCAAAGAGAAAGCAACTGATGTGATTTGGAGTAGACTGTGTTTCATAATTCATTTACGTGTAACGAAGAACAAGCTATTTCAAGAGCTGTATGTTAAAGACATAGCTTTGAAACAGCTGTATTTTTGCCCGGAGGACTTTGACTGCATGCCTACCCATGTATCTCCATTTTTCATCAGCACCTTCGGAAGTGTTAAAATAACAAACTGTTCCTCCAGACTTTGCCTCAGGCACAGTTTGGCAGTGGGTTAACCAGAAAGTAATACAAACGGCTTCTGTAAATATAGCAAAATGTATTGCCAATGACTTTTAGGTTTTACCATAGTTCCAAGTGGTAGATGTAATAACATATTTGATTATAGCAGAAATGACCACATTTATTTTAGGACCTGTTCAATGTGATTAACAGTCAATGTCTGATCAAAAACAGCCCTTAACAGCAGGTATTGCTCATGTGTCTTCAATAATCACACTCATAACTCTTGTAAACATGCTTGGACAATAAATAGATGTTTTAAAGTAATCAGTTTTTATGATAAAATAATACACAAAACTTGAGGGAGAGGTTTAATATGTCTGGCTCATTTCCTCCTAGACCAGCTTCAGAAGGAACAATTAAAGTTAAAAGTTGATTATTTTTTTTGTATGCATTTTTAGGTCATAACTCTTGTCATTCTTCTAAAGGCTTTGGCTGTAGAACAACCTCCTACTAAGCATTTCTCTGCCTTTACACTTTCTTCCTCTAAGGATTTACAGTATGTCAGCAACAAATATATAGTTTTTGTTGTGTAATTGTAAAACGAGCAAAGACAGAGAAATCCTTATTGATTCCCTGGAACGATGCTAACTAGGTTGTCATTGAATACAGTGTTGCTCACCTTTTTCACTAGGACGGTGTAAGGAGTTTGTGTTGGTATCAGAGATTAGAGCTGCTGCTCAATGGCTCACCAGTTGTTAAGTGTGGTAAAAGGTACAGGGGAAAGTTAAATATATGAATATGTTGGTATTTCTTTTCCTTAATTCACTGCATGCTGTGGAGGCGAACAGTAGTCTGTAGCTAAGCTATCTATGCTGAATGGTTGATAATCTGACACAGTCTACTCATCTCTCTTGGAGAAAAACTGTTGCAAATAGGCACTCTTGTCTTTTTCTCTCTCTTATCTCTCTTTTTTTTTTGAAAACTTGACTTTATTATTTTTTTCTAGGCAGCACAGTGACTGCCACAGTCGCTCTTGTCTTCTACTGACTGCTGCTGAAAACATCACCGTCAAGCTAAGCAGGAACGAACCATTTAACGCAGTGCAAATATAGACGTGTGCTTTTTGGTCTAATTTTTACTGCTAAAAACAATTTTAAAAAACACACACAATAACAGTAATTGACAGGGCTCCGATTTTGTTTTTCAATTTTTGTAAAAAAATAATATATGTATATATATTATTTGTTTATTTTTTTGTGGGAAGGATCCCTGCAAACCAATATACTCTCATGAAAGTGACAGATCCAAGAATGATTTGGAGCATTGGATTTGTTTTCTTTAAAATTGTAATGGCTGAACTCAACCATTTGTCCATCCATCTATCTATCCATTTGTCAGTGAGTCGGTTCTTGTGGGATTGGTCTCCCATCACTGTGAAGAGTTGCCAATCCAATTACAATATCTACATCTTCCAAAAACACTGTTTTCCCTAAGTATTTTGTGAAAAACCTTTTGCCATAAACTCTTTGGATTTCCTTGGAAATTTTAGACTGATTAAAATCATGTCTTATTTAAAAGATCTAGAGATGCACAGATTACATAGTTTATCACTAACAATACTGTTTACTTTGTTCTAACTTTGAAGTGGACAGTATGTTGGCATCATACAGAACTGAAAAAGACACCATCTTTGAATGAGATGAATAAATAAACTTTTTTTTAAAATAGTAAATAAATGTATAAATTGACATCAAATAAGGGAAGTTTGAGAAATGTTGCCCAGGAACAATTAGACTATAGTCAATTTAGTGTCAAATGTTTTGAACAAAATAGTTCTAAGACTGTTCAGATGTCTTCCTTTTATGTCAAAAGTCCACAGTGGATGGTGTGAGTAGTAAAAAGAGTTATTTGCAAATCTTTTCTCTCTCTTTTGTCTCTTCACCTTAGCCATTCCAGGCAGACAGCCACCCACCCATAGTCTGGTTCTGCTAAAGTTTCCTCCTTGTTTGAAATAAGAGGGCGGCTTTTTTCCCTCTTCACTGTTGCCAAGCACCACACAAAAGGGAATTGTTGTGTTTTTCCTCTATCATATAGCAAGGTCCTGACCCTGCTATCTAAACTGCCCTGAGATGACTTATCTTACAAGTTGGTGCTATATAAATAAGATTGCATTGAATTAATTTTTATTAGCGCTCCCGACATCCATCGCAAGACCTAAGGTCAAGTCGTGTTGCAGAATGCCACTCTTCTCATTAAGCTGCCATATGAAATAATTAGAGAGTCAGACTTTGCTACACCACTGGTACCACTCTGCTCTAAAGTGTGCTACTTTATGTGAGCTGTTTCTCCCTGACTTGTCTGCTTTCAACTGCTGACCTTTATGTTTGCACTTCAGCATTTATGCAAATACTTCTAAATTGAAATGACATAACACTGCTGTAGTTAAGTTAATGTCAATATCACTTATTAGAGTTAAAACATAAACTGTTATAATACAGTGCACAAAAGAGATTGGGTCATACACAGTAAACAAGACATTAAATAGCAATGCTTTCTGCTTTCTCTTCCTGCGGCTGATAAGTTAATGTAGGCTTCATGTTGGAGCAAGAGGTTGTGATATAATAAGGGGTTCTGGATGCTCCTGTTGTAATACAGTAACTACATTAAAATAAGGCATCCTTCGTCCAAGTTAATTATGGCTGACATTTAAAAGAGGCCACTCCTGCTGAAGCAGGTGGGAGAACTGAGAGAGAGGAGTGGGCCTCTCTCTAATTGAGTTTACTGCTTGCTCCAATTCTGATTATGCTTTTGTTCTGTGGGGAGCAGATATGTGAAGTGCAGCTAAATGAGACTCTCAGTAGGGATATTGATACTGGTTTTGTTATTATGGCATTTGTATCTTTTCCTTTATTGCCAAGCGATTTGAAAGAATGCTGGGGATTTAAGTTGACCTGCATAGTAAATCCATATGTCTGCATCCGTGCGTTAAGTGCAGATCGCTGCCTGCAACAAAGTCAGTAAATTTAAAGGAAAATATTTTGTCATTGGTAAACGTTCGGTATAGATTGTTTCTTTTTTCTGTGTATTTTCTGAATACTTTTTACATTTTCTTTCAGGCTGGTTTTGTTAATTCAGATTTACATGACATTAGGCATCAATGACTTATGGTTGCAATTGCTTCCACATCTTCATGTAGCCTCAGACTACAGAATACTGATATCGAGACTCAATGGGGACCACGCCATCTGTTGCTGGACTCCATGCTCCTCTCTATAATCACAGATGCTTCTTGCTATGAAGATGTTTTATGATAGTATGGCCTAAAATCTTGTTCTCTCCTCATCCTCCACAGCTATGGCAGACTTCCATGTGCAGCCAGAGTCGGTGCATGCTGAAGAGTCTGGCGTGGCTCGATTCCAGTGCCAGATCCATGGTCTGCCAGAGCCGGTTATTAGCTGGGAAAAAGACAGACGCCCAGTGGACACTACAAATGAGAGGTTGGGCAGAGCATGGCCTGAGGTTGTCTTTCAAACAGTGTTACGTTTTACCAACGTCCTTCACCTGACATTATACTCTTTCTCTCATGTAGGTATACTCTGCTACCAACAGGTGTTCTGCAAATCACGGGCGTGCGTGAAGAGGACAGCGGAAAGTTCTGCTGTGTGGCACACAACAGTGCTGGAGTAAAACACAGTGCAGAGGCTCTCCTAACTGTTTCAGGTTTTTATTATCTGCAGACTTTTCTCTCACATGCTATGTTTTTCACCTTTCTCTGTGTACATTGTGTTAACGCATCACATAAAATTCTAGAGAAATGCATTGACATTTTAGCAGAGGTGAGAAAATGTGAAATAAAAACTTTGATAAGGTGCTGTAATTCAATACACATAAATATTAATGAAAAGTTCATGTTTTTCAGTAATTAAATTCACAAAGTACTTCCGTTCAGTACAGAGAGATTTCAAAACCTTGTTCTAAATATTCTAAATTATTCTTAATGAAGGTGATTTTTCCACCTACAAACAATAACTGCACCAGACCAATGAAAACATTTTTGATTAGGAAATGTGGGCTTGCTGAAAATTCTGCATTCAAATTTATTGTGACTGCATATTTAACAAAAGAGTAACTAAAACATACCAATTTCTACTCTTTTCTTCCAGGCTCTCAGTCGTCTGTTTACAAAGAGCCTAAGATTCTCGTCGGCCCGGAGAATCTTACCCTCACTGTTCACCAGACCGCCATCCTGGAGTGCGTTGCCACGGGATATCCTCGCCCCATTGTGTCTTGGAGCAGATTAGGTGAGAACAATACCTCATCAAAGCACAGGAAAGGCTGCAGAAGCAATACACTCTGCATGTTTTTATTTTGAGGAATTATCTGCTAAGATGAAGTACATTTAATTCAGCTGAACCGCAAGGGGCAACATCCTGGTGGGTTTGTTTATCCCTGGTTGCCCCGCTCCGTGTAACGCATATGTGTACACAGAATACATTTCAGACAGTAAATCTGTTGTGTATACACAAGGCAATGGGACTCAACATTAAGCCTCAGGGCTAAACATTATGCTTGACTCTGTACTGATAAACATGTGCTTCATCTCCTCATGAAGTTGAACCTCTCTTCGAAGCGCAGAAGAGCCTCTGAGTAATTGCACCGAGGTGCTGAGCCAGACACAATTAATTTCTCCTCCCCACATGTTTTTTTCACCCTTACTATCACTCAGTCTGTCTCAGCCAATTTTTCAGCCTCCTATCTGTTTTTTTTTTTACCTATTATCCCGTCTGATTTGCTATCCTAAATGTAAATTGCTGCCCCTCCCAAGAACTCAGCCGTAATCAGATTGACAGTATTGCCTTACGCAATGCTGCTAGAATGAAATGCTAACACGATGGGATTTGTGTGTATTAGATTATAGGAGGGAGACTCGGATAGGCTGCAACACAAACCTGATAGTTTCACATCAGTCACTCCTTAATGCTAGAGTTAGTTTGTTGCTATTCATTGAACAGCACCACCTGCTAGCTTGTGCTCTTTCTTTCCTGACACTAAATTAATTAGTAGTTGGCAGAGGGAAGGTAATTAAGTGAAGCAAAGGGAAGGGGAAAAGGAATACATGCAGTGCAAATAAAACAAAAATGCTTCTCTTGAGACAAAGGTCCAATGAATCGTTAGATCTTTCTGTACTTAGGTGATACAAATCAATAAAGCAGACTTTCTCAAATCCAGACTACAGTCAGGAAGTTAACAGTGTAGAAATTATGTACGGATGAGCAGAATTGGACACATAACATTTGGGAAAATTGTAACTGTAACCACAAAGCAGTATCGGCAAAACTATTCAACCAGAGGATTTTTGACACAAAGAGGAAACACTCCCAACATTTGCTTGCTGTTTCTTTAAACTCCTCTCTCAGCACAGATGCTCAGCAGGCATGACTTGAGTTTACAGAAGTCATTTTGAACCCCATGTGTGGCGAGTCTGCACTGCAAGGATGATTTTCCCTGGCTGCATCTACTTATTCACAATAGGGTTAAAGAATATGGTTATGGTAAAACATTTGGTCTTGCCTACAAGTAATTTGAACATACAGTTTGAGAACTACAACAGAGCAATCCCATTTTAGCATGTCATTTTTTTCACCTATATTGACGCAAAACATAATGAAGAGCACATTGACTCTCCGACTCCTTCTTGTTCACGTGCCCAGCACGGCGCCAATCAGCAAGCCTTGCCGCTTGGCCTTTTAATACATCAGATCATACAGGCTGCAGAAGAAAGTCATCGATGGGATTAGAATGCTCCCTTGGCCTCACAGCTAATATCAGAGGTAGATTGAAGTCATTGTCGGGCCTGGCACTGCAGATAGGGAGCATGGGGAAAGTGTGAGCTTATCGCGTAATTGCAGTGAGAGCAGAAAGAGAAGGTAGCTATGGCTTGTGTGAGGAAATAGAAGATTACAAGTGTGCTCCTATAGTTTCTTGTCCCAAAGTGGCATCTGAAATATTTTCATTGGTAAAAATGGAAGCATTTTCAGTAGAAAATTTAATCTAGAGCAACCTCAGACAATATCAAAGTAATATATAAATCTGCACACGTTCCACTTAAAAAATGGCATAAAAACATAACCTTATAAATACACGTAGATCTTTACTTGTCAAACAGATTTTAAGTTGTCACAATAGTGGAAGGTGAAAGGACAATGGCACAGAAATCTTCGTAAAGTAAGAGGTTTAATATTATTTTTTCTGACTTACAAAGAACTCAAGGAGCAGCACAAAGGAACCAGAATCTAGGAATTAAGGATTTACATGAGGAGAATCCAGTGCAAACACTGAGATGTGTTTATACACCCACAAAGGTGTAACCATCAACAGACAAGGGACAACTGCAGGTGTAGGAAGCTGAACACCAATAAAAGCTCAAATGCACAAAAATTCAAAACAAAACTAAATACAAAGAGGTGAGCTGAAAAGACTAGATCTAAATAAAGTGAATAACAAGGAAATAATAACATAAAACCCAGGTAAAACCAAAACCCAAATACTCCTGAATTGTGGTACAAATAGGACTTTGTCCTGCAGTGGTTCAAAAGTAACCATGAAAAAATTAACAAGTGGAAACCGCTGCACTCAGAGATCAAATAAAAACTGACCTTCCTCCTTGCATCTGTTGCATCAGCGCTATCTCCACATTTTAATGCTGCGCCTCACTCGCTGTGAAGGCTGCATCCTTGAGGGACAGAAATAGCACTTTCACTGTCAGCTGGTGGTTGTATTCTTGCATTTTGTTTCGTTCTTGCTCATGCTTTTAAACCTTCTCTAATCCTCACACACATACACACACTCCTCATAATCCCTGACACTACATGAAGGTAGAGATGAGTAACACCTGCCCTGCATAGTGCCTTCCCGTCTTTGTAAACTGCTCTCCTTTATCTACCATCTCTGATCAGATGGCCGACCCATCGGAGTGGAGGGAATTCAGGTGCTTGGAACAGGAAACCTGATGATCTCAGATGTTGGTGTGCAGCACTCTGGCGTTTATGTTTGTGCTGCGAACAAACCGGGGACACGCGTTCGCAGGACAGCTCAAGGACGACTAGTAGTCCAAGGTGAGTTCTCGATAAAAAGGGTTTTCCATTTTAGCTATTGCTGTTTTTTACATATGGCCAGGTATAGCTGAGGTCACAGAATACCATACAGCTCAGAATCAAGCTGCATGATTACCATAGCATTAGCAGAGTCTTTTCTGCCTTGAGCTGAGGCAGTGCCTCAACCATGATAAACGGGAAACCTATGTGACAAGTGTGCTTCATGTAGGTGTTCTTTAATTTAAATTCTGAGCTAGTGGGTGGCTTCAATCTCGCATACTTATGGTTTTTGCATAACTCTACCCCAAAGGAAAAAAATGCAAGAACATTTTAAATTAATGAGCTCCCAAAGTACAGCAGAAGTTGCCATTTGGTTTTTTGGGTGTTCCCAAGTCATCTAGGATGAATTTCTGAATTTCAGAAGCTAAAAAATAAAAACTACTGAGCAACTTCAATGGAGCTAAATTACTCAAAAGGTCAGGATCTTTAGTAATGGCAGAGCAAAAAATGATAAATTACCTGGGTAATTGTTTAGCATCATCCATCAATCCATTAACATTAACTAACAAGGGCTTAGTCGGTAATCACATCTCCAGAATGGCATGAACAAGTCACTTCTCTAAATTATACTGCAAAGCTAATCACTCAAAGAATAAATGGAGATCAGAGCAACTTTTAATAGTGTTAGCCATTAAATGAGAGCATTCTATCAAAAGCAGAGTAATAAATTTATGGAGGTAAGTCTGATTACATCTTTTATGGCAAATGGCTTTTTATAAATAGTGAGAGCAAAGACTGCTTTTCATTTGTAGGCGCAGAAAGTGCCGTGACACCGGCTGATTACAAATTAGACTCAAAGGCTTGGAATGGATGCAGTTCAGAGAGAAAAATGTGGATTCTATAAACATAAGAATAACATTTTTTAAAAACACATTTTATTTTTTAAAAGCATTAAAGATTTTTGTTACTGCCAATGCCAAGAAAGAAAAAACTAAAATTCTTCTCCTTATGCAACCTATTATTATTTTTCCCTTAAAATGTCTTTTACAATCTCCAAAAGAATGGTAATCTATTTTTCTAAATATGAGCCACATATGCTGTCAAATTACTCATAAATTGTAATATTTTATCAATTTAAAGAGCCATGTAGTTAGATTTCAAATCAAAAACATGTTTTTCTCTATGGCTCTTGAAACAAGCCAGACAATATCTGCCTTTAGCAGCCATTAATATTCCTATTAATAGCTTTGTGAATGATTACAGAAAGAACATTTCTCGGTATTATAATTTCTGTGTAGTTTGGTGATGAAGTGTATAATAGGATCTATTTTTCTCATTCTTAATATCATGCTGTCCTTTTTCTTTCTTTTATTGTTTTATTTCTGTTCAATGTCGAGGGCTGCCGTCTCATTGCATTGCATCTAACACAGTGACAGCAAAGACATTTTTTGTTCAATCCCTTTTCACTCTGCAACAAGGCCATCTTTACGTGACACTGTTACTATACGCTGTGAAAAACACAACTACACTGGAACTGTATAGATATGTCTGAGCTTGCTTTTAAATTGTCACACAAAAAAACTTGAAACATTTTAAAATCCTTAAGCCTTCTGCCCTGACCTGTTTATGTACCTGAAGATTTTGTTTAGTAGCATCCCTGTGTGTGTTAGTTGTTCACATCACTGAAGACTGTGCCTTGAAAGTGTAAGAGGTAGAAGAAGGATGGTGGCCCTGTTTATTAATTGTCACCAAGAAGGAAACAGCCAGCCTCTACCTTGCTCACAAATTGATCAAATAGGCCACACTTTGCTTCAGCCCATCGTGGTATTGATCCTAATCAATAATTCATTTCATCAGCCTGTCAACTCTAAGGCACTCTTTGGCCTAGCTGGGGACAGCATCTGAAAGCCATAGATGTTGATTATCTGTCAGTTTCTTTGGTTTTTGTCATTGATTTGTGAAAACAAAGCGGTTCTGTTAACTTCAGAAAAATGTGTCTTTGCCATGATTTAATATGAGACAACAATGCTTACTGGAAGTCCTTGAGGAATTAGACAATTAATTTGTGGAAATAAGCCACTTAACAATAATTATCCATTTATAACACAAGTTCACTAGTAAAAAAAATAAATAAAAATCTAACTAGAGTAATGCAGACAAGGTTAATAGTAAAATCATCACATATCAAGAAATAGACATCTTGAGAAATTTTATCAGGATAAATTTTTAGGTACAAAAACAGACTCAAAGAGTCAAACTTTTGGGATCAGCAGTGAAAAGCAGGATCAAGATAAATGACTTGTGCAGATGATTTGACCCACACCTTTAGAGGTGCAAATCAATATCATCTGGTGCTCCTGGTGATCTCTGCCTTCGTGTTTGTCAGCTTTAAAAATAAAAATAAAAACTGCAAGGGAGAAAACAAACAGACACTTTAAGGCTTGGATGCAAAGAGATAAATGAAAGAAACATCTTACGCTCTCAGCTTTCTTCTTTATTTCACTGCCCAGAGGCACATTTGCTTTTTCATTGGAGGAGTGGAAAAGCATCAGATAATGTTTGGTGTGAGAGGGTAGGAACAAGAATAAAGGCTGAACAGCAGGGAGCAAAACCAAAGAGGAGCTTGAAACAATCTGGACAAAAAAACAAGATACTAGGAAAACAATAATAACTAAAACCATATTAAATACATTAATATATATATGAAATTCTTTTGTTCCTTTTCTATACTTTTGTTGTTGTCAATATGTCATTTGATGCCAAATGTTGATGTAACTATTCCCTTGGCTTACTGCTCCTTTATTGCAAAAGTTTATTGAAAGAGATGCTTCTTCATAAAGCTGAACTGGCAGAGTTGTTTATGTACTCACCAACATAGATAGTTAAATACTCTGAGTCAGTTATATGGGTTTATGCATTATAGTTTTGAGTTTGAACATAGTCTGCATTTCCAAAACATCTCATTAGCATCCCAATAAATAGACCTAATTTTACACTGTGTTTCAAATTATTATGCAAATTGGATTTAAGCATCATAAAGATGACATATTTTGTTGTGCTATTAAATGTATAGGTGGTTTTATGTGTCAGGGCTCTTTGAATCACTATAATTAATTTGAGAGAGCTGGTTGATTTGTTTGTCTGGTGAGCTCAATTAAAGGAAATCTATTTAAGAAGGATGTTCCACATTATTAAGCACACCACAGGTTACAAGCAATATGGAAAAGAGAAAGAATCTCTCTGCTGATGGAAACCATCAGTTAGTTTAGTGTCGTATGACAACATATGAATATTAGATGCTTAACATTAGATATTTAATGAAAACTGAAACGTTATCATTGTACTGTGAAGAGATTTGTGGCTGATTCAGAACAAAGATGGGTTTGTACAGATAAAGGCATAATGAGGAAAGTGTCTGTTAGACAAATTAATCAGATTAAGAGAGCAGCGTCAAAAATCCCCTTACAAAGCAGAAATCAGTTATCTGAAGCTGTTGGAACCTCAAGGTGGAGGAACCTACTAAAATTATACTGACCATTTGCAATGATCATTTGCATTGATCATTTAAGTAAATCTGAGAAAATATCAATTGGATAATAATTTGGAGCTCGGGGTATTGTGATTTTTCTTTTAGAATTTGATAGAAAAGAACAAGCATGTTGAATGATTTCCTGCCAGCAAAACACTATAGAGCGGAATTCATTAAAATTATATATTTTTTAAGTAAACAGCAAGTTAAAAATTTCAAGACTAATTGATAAAAATGAACAGATCTAAAACCTTATCAACATGGAGTTATTAGATTGTAGTTTTGGAGTTTGTTTTTTAAGGCTTTTTATGGCACAAGTGTTGTTTGTTTTGCTTGTCTGTTTGTTTTTGACAATGTAGGAGAGAGAAAAAGGGGCAGAGTGAAAAGAACAGTCTTTGTCTCTGGGGATTTACTTTACTCACTAACGTAAGAGAAAATTCAATATTTTTGTTTTTTTTTTTGGCCAATTTGTTTGTTACAGAACTTTGAGCACAACCACAGCAGGAAGCATTGTTGATCCCTGTTTGTTTTTACTAAGGTACATTGCAATCATGGTAGTAAAAGCAAGATGCACAACAGTCATGAAAATGCCGAAAGCAGAAAAAAATCCAAAAAATGTTCTCCATTCTTTACGTAATGATGTGTATAACTATCCATCTGCACTTACATTTCCCTTTAAACCCAGAGCTTCTGGGCTGTGTGAAGACTCACACTGGGAGTTCATTTGAATATTTATTCATGTACATTGATATACTAGCGAGTACCAGGGTAAATGTTTTGTTTTTTTTCTGTGCCAGCAGTTCTTCCAGACTAATTTGGCTGTCATTCCTGTCCCCGGTTTACAACTGTTGTAACTTCTGCAAAATATGTCATGTTGTAAACTTGGCTTGTCATGGCCATTTTTATTATTTCCCGACCCCAGTGAGACTTAACTCTAGCCCCAAGCTACTCATATGATCTAATAGGACCAAAGACACACAGGAAAAACCTTGTTAGATCAGTCAGAGAAATTGTTAGCCAGCAGTGTCCATACGTCTGCATAAAACCACTAAGATATGAAAAAGCACTTTAATATTATTACATTATCCTGTCAGCAGTGGGGTATAAACCTTAAACATACCCATTTGAAAAAGATGTGTATTTGTTTTCATCCCTGGCCAGGTTTTTATCACAAAGTAACCTAGTTATTAGCCAAAGGCAGCTATAGATTTAAACTGTTCCAGCTATAATTGAAAATAGTTGTGTAGATTCAACTTTATTAGGTAGACCTTTACTTGTATTGCGTTGCACTGAGCCGATGTAGATATGAGGGCTGCATTTCCAAAATAAAAAAATAAAATAAGGTGAAAGTGGAGAGACAATTGCAGTCATGTTGCTCGTTTTTCAAATCTATTATCCTCCGATTTTAACAAGCTTGTGTGATTTGCATCCTCAGTTTTCTGTTATTTGCTGACAGCAGTGGCAGTCTGTGTGGTCCTTTACTGTCTCAAACCATCTGCTTCAAGGTCCAACGTTTAGCAATGGCATTCCACATACTGGTTGTAACAAATGGTTATTTGAGCTACTGTTAATTTACCGCAAACCGCCCATTCTCCTCTGACCCCTTTAGCCCATATGTCTCCAACACAGACTTTATATCTAAAGTTGCCTTCATTTCTTCCTTTATCATATATCTTATCAAGCTGTCACAACAGATTCAAATTTAAGCTATTAATTTGGATAAACCGCTAAACAAAGTAAATAAAATTATGAGTTAGCCACGCATATTAACACAAATGTAATAGAACGTAGGAGGATGCTTTATGAGCAACATTTTGTTGAAAGATATAGCTTTTTTTAAAAAATACTAATAAAAAGAAGAAGCTGTTGGATCTCTGATCAAACTAAGCAGTTGATTCACAAATGTATAATTAGCATAATGTTCTCTGTGTTCATTCATGCATAAATAATGAGGTTTAATAAATCTTTGATATGATTGAACAGACTGAGGGCTGCAGGAGACAACAGAAATACATAAACATTAAAACGAATTAAATGAAACAAAATTTTAATTTAGTATGTAAATAACTGAAAAAATAGATTAGTAGTAGCAGAATAATTTAAAGCCTGTATTTAAAACAAATTAGAAATGTGGTGAAGCAGGTTTTACTCTTTTGTTTACCTCCCTCCAGTCCTTTTATTTACCTATTAGAGCATCGATCCTTTGTCTTTCCTTATCAAGGTAATTGAACCTTGCTTGAATTATAGATTTAAGGCAGTGTTTACACCTCAGTCCTATACCCTAGCCACTTATATTTTTTCTCACACCTATTCTCTCTTCCATTAGTATCTTGACACCTCAGGACCGAGTTTTTAAAATCGTAATATTTTAAGTATCTGGCAGGTTCGCATCCCACCGATGCGTAGGGTCGAAGGAGCGATGTTGTCTGACTACGTTCTCTGTTTCTCTTTCAGCTCCAGCAGAGTTTGTTCAGCCTCCGCAGTCCATCGCTCGACCGGTTGGCACCACGGCGATCTTCACCTGCCAAGTGCAGGGTGAGCCTGAGCCGCAGCTCACCTGGCTGAAGAACGGGCAGGTTCTGGAGCCAGGGGGGCATGTTAAACTCAGGAACAACAACAGGTACAAGAATATTCCTCTCTGCATTTATGGGTCTATTAGAGCAAAATATTTTATGTAAAAAGAAAAGGTTGAGTTCTTTACTGAGAAAAACATTCCAATAATTTGATTAAAATCAAATATTTCTTATAGAATCGCGTGAACAGCTTTCAACTTGACGAATCTCAAGGTTTATGCCTAAGTGAGGAGTGTTCAAGGCTCCATCTGGATACTGCTATGGTTACAGAGTACCAACTGCACAGGATTGGAAAAAACTAAACAGGCTGTGCAATTAATTGATTTCTTCTTTTGTGATATCCACTTTGTGCTCCAGGGTCAGAGGAGAGTTGGAGCCTCTCCCATTTCTCACTTATGGAGAAGGGATGTATACAAGCTTAAAGATAATTAGGTGGATAATATTTTATGGTAAAAAAGTAAATGAAGAAAAACAATAACAATCAGTACTATCCAGTACCAGACTCCAATCCATACTGAAATATATACCAGCATATGACTTTTGTAGTTAAATTTAAGCCACTTTTTAGATGTTTATGAGAAAATTATGCATTTTAGGATGATTTACAATTCTGAATTGACCTTAGTGAACAGTTTACCCGTGCGGGTGTTGGATCAATTTGTCTCTGTTTTGGTCCTGTTGTACTGGACTTGTTGCACCCCATCTGCTTACTGCAATGACAAGCTCCGTCCCCATCTAACCCACAGTGAAGTTAGGAAATCTGGAATTCGATAAATGCCTGCGAGATATTTTTAAATATGTTGTTTCTGATTTAGTGGACAAATGTTCCCTGTCTTACTGCTTTTACACATGCAATTTGTATCTTTTTATGTGTGCATTGTTTTCATTCTTCCCCTCATCCTCTTGTGACATGATTAGAAGCTGAATATGGGTCAAAAACCCATTTTAAAACGAGCTTTTGACGCAAGATGTTTTCATAGATGAAGGCACATCCAAAGTTCAATTTTCCCAGTTGACCCTGGCCACAGTTATCCAAGTACATCATTATTTTTCATGAAAGAAGAATGAAGTAAATGTATTGAATGAATATGCTGGAGAAGAAAAAAAAATCAATGCTTACACTTCGCCGCAGTGAGTGAAAGGAGCAGACAAAACCATTGCTCACATTCATTTCCCCACTCCTACTTGCATCTACTAGCCTGTATTAGCAAGACAGATGGAATAAGAGAATGCTAAAGGCAGAAAGAGAACAGGAAAGAAATGGATGAGAAGCCTCACTGAAATGTTGAATTAAAAAGGGTGGAAATGAATGAGTGCTTAAGGGCGAAACGATGAGTCTGTAGGAAGAATAAATGGGCAAAGAGGAGGGGAGACCTGAAAGATGGAATGAGTAGTCAGAGCATCACTTCGTTTCCTCGTCCCTCCGTCACCGATGACCTGCCGTAATATGAATCCCATGCATCACAAGCTGAACTCTGTGATTGGGTACAGAGGCAGACCTCAGCTTGAGCTCGACCATTAGCTAATGAGCCCATAAACTCAGCTGGTTGGCCAAGAAATGCAATCAGGCGTGTGGAGAACAGAGCAGCTTCAAGAGCATCTTAAGACGGTGCCACTGAACTACACAGTGGGTGGAAAGAACATGAAACAATGTCATTCTTTTTCACAGCTGGGTGCAATAATGCAGATGTGAAGGTGTTTAAAGCTGTTCAGAGGACTGTACTTCCATCCTGGGAGATAAATTGTTGTCTGCAGAAGTACTCTGAATGAACCAAACCGAAATTAACGCCAAGCGAAATGTTTATTGGAACCCTTGTCAGTGGAAATCAGTATATATTAAATGTTTGCCATTTTCTTCAAACGTGGATCTTTATATCAAGACTCCTAAAACTTTAGGCAACCGTGAATGTTGAGATGATGATGTCTTGACGTTGTAAACTTCTGACTAGTTAATTTACAACTTTTAATATAATTGGATGTTTATTTATTTTTCTCAGAGCAAAAATAAGAGAAGAATGCCTACTTCTCTTATTAATGGGGAAAATATTACATTTGAACAAATTTCAAAATAATATGAAGCAACCTTTATCAGTTTGTTTTGAATGGTGAAATAAATGTTTAAAGATTAAAAGATGATTGACATAATAAAGATTAAAATGGTGGGATTAAATTTTTGAACATTAATGTGGTATTTTAGACCTAAAGACAAACAGTCCAGCTTTCGAATCACATGCAGAGTTAGAGCTGCACTAGATGCTGGTGATTGGATGAGAAAATGTTGAGTCAAGTTGGTTTTGTCTCGACTTGGACTTGCCTCAACGTCTTTAAAATTGAGACTTGTGTCATAGTTGTGAATGGTCTGTATTGTGCTTTGATTTTCCACTTTTGTAAAGGCATTTTGAAGAACAGCTTCAAGTTCAAAACAAATGCAAAAAGTTCCATTAAAGACCAAAACTTTTAACGATGGGTGAAGGATGTTGCATTTCTGCAATAGCTTACATCAACTGTTTAAATGCTGAACATATCATTCTTACAGGTTTTATTTGTTTAATAATTGTCAGTGAAAACCAGTGTTCTCATTAGTAACATTTAATTATGTTTTCAATCAGTTTTAGCCACACAGCAAAAACTTGTATAAAGGGAAAAATACAAAAATATTTGTTCCTCTGCCTAGCAATGGGACCTTCTGTAAATTTAAATTTTAACCAACATTGTTGGAAAGCTTGAAGAGTTTCATCTGAAGTCAAATGTTTTAGAAATCAAAACAATATGAAATTAGATCAGGCACAAGTTACCTTCACTGGTACCCAAATCAAAAGTAATGACATGTTAATAAATTCAAGAGCTGCAGGCGGCACAGTTATCCGGCTCCACGTGTATATTTATGTCTTTGTGTTCTCACATTATGGCTGATGGTGGAGGATTAGAGGATATAAAGTACAAAAACCCCCGTAGAAAGGTTTTGTGGGGCTCATATTACCATGAGTTTGTGTGCAAACACATAGAAAGACTTCTCCTCGTTGCCATTTCCCATGACTCTGACCTTCAAGTGCAAATCGGAAGCGGAATCGATTGTACATTTAATTCACTCACACGTTTGCATGCACATTAATCAAAAAGCAAGCAAGTCCGTTTATTTTCACAAATAGGCCTGTGGTGCATAACCTCATTCATTTTACACACATGCATAATCAAACAGAAAAATTCACTACCATGCTGCCCTTTACTCCTCACCTAAATGCATAATTCACACACTGAGAAACAGAGGGAGTGAAGCTGGCTGAATGACAAGACAGAAGAGTTGACTTGGCTCTCATGGTGAATTGTTACACCTCAAAAGATTCGGTCGCATGCACCAGCACACACTCCGAAGCACAAACAGACATGCTGCTTTGTAAGGCCTTTCATTATCAGCCCTGACTGTGAAACATGTTTTCTCAAAGCCTCTGTTAAAGCCGTTGCTAATTATGCATATGAGGGTTTACCTCAGTCTCATGTCTCCAAAGCAGCAACACATGATCAGCCAATACATACGTGCTGTGATCTCTCATCAGACGGCATAATAATATGAAAGCTCAGTCGGCATTATCTTAAAGTAATACTGCTACCGATGACAGGAAATAATTAATGTGTAACTTGTTCCAAGTGAGCGGCATGTTCTTTAAGTTAATTAATGGCCGACCTCTGAGAGAACTGCCTTCCACACCGATGTGGAAATTTGTAATTGAAATAGCCTCAAAGTTTGTTTCCCGTCTTTTCTACATTTGCCTGTTTTTTTTCTCTCTTCACCCCATGTATGTCTTCCTGCCCCCTTACATCAGGAGACGAGGCCTGGGCATTGGCCTTGACCTCTGACCTGCCTATAATCAGTCATATCCTTTGGTCCTTCCCTCCTCTCAAGGCACAGACAGCTCTGCTCCCCTTCCCCCTCTATCCACACCTCTTCCTCCTGCTCTCTCTTTGTCCCCATATTTTCCTCCTTTTCGCTCTCGCCGAATCCAGAACGGCCCCACAGCCTTTTGATGAGGCGCTGCTCGGAAACAACAGAGGGTAAACATAGACTAAGCAGCTGAACAACAGATCCTAAAACCCCACTGTCAGCCCCTCCTCCACCCTGACCCGCTGCCTCGTCCGTCAATCTGTGAAGTGACCTCAAACTGATGAGTAAATGATGCTGTCAGCTTGTCAGGACAGGACAGCTTGGTTTAGGGCGCTCACAACAAGCGAAAAGCCTGAATTCCAGTCATACACCTCCCATATCCTTTCTTCTCTTTCTCCTTTCTTCCTTTTGTCCCTCGTACATTGTGTACATCCAGGGTCTAATGTTGCATGTCAATGTGAACTGTGTGATTGGAATAATCATTTAAATTGCAAAGCGAACTTCACTGAGTTGTGTCTCAAGAGAACCATGAGAACCGTAAAACAGAGATGTGTTTCAGTTTTGGAAATTAAACAATGTAAAGAACTTAATCAGGAAATAAAAAATGTGGAGCATCAGAACGAGCTTTAGAGGAAGCTTTGAAACAAATATATATATATATATATATATATATATATATATATATATATATATATATATATATATATATATATATATATATATATGTATTACAACTTGCTTTATTCATAATATGATAATTTGTTCATGTGACACAAATTGACATTTGGGCTCCAGCCTATGATTGAGGTGTTTTGCCTTTTATTATTTTGCTTTTCTTTCTTGAGCTATGTGGTTTGTTTTGGGTTTTTTTCCACATTTTTTTTTCTTTCTTCCCCCTTATAATGTATAAATAAATACATTTACTTCATTTGGTTATTTTTTCAGAATTCTGTAAAGCAATTGATATTTAAAATCTTCCTCTTATTATGCTTTTTTTATCACTTTTTCACAAGTATTTTCAATGCAATTTAATTACACGAACTTAATAAATACAAACAAAAGTGTCAGTTTTTTTTAAAATGATGGTGCATTTCCTTTCCACTAAAAACAAAATCAAATGTTCTGAATTTCCTGTTAGAAATACAAGAACAACGTCCCCAAAGTTTGAATATTAACTGGGAAAGTTGTAAATTACCCAACATTCCTGAGTTGGTATCCAATATGGCCTCTGCACATACAGAATTTGGTGTAAGTGACAGGTATAAACATACCCTCTTTTTCATTTGACATGTTCCTTTTGAGTAAAGACAAGCACATTGATGTCGATAATCTAAATTACCCCCAATAACATAAACAATCTGCCACTAGCTATAGTTTTCTGACATGCATGTGTGATGCCGTTCCTAGACCCAAACTCTTGACACAAATCAAGCGTACGATTATACCAACTTGTACTCCAACAAATTTCTGTTGTATGTTCATTTCTGCTTAAACGTTCATGTCACAGTAAAAAAAGTGTTTAACACCACATCTGAGCTGCACTTCAGCAGGATATGATCACACGTCTGTGGCTTGTCACACGCTTTTGAATGTTACTGTACCTTGTCAACAAGCAGAAACCCCCAGCCACTTCCTTTCACACACACAGGGGGCCCATCAAGCCCCGGTGGCACCGGTCGTGCTTCCCGAGGGGCCTCCTTACTTTTTCCTGCTTCTCTGGCATCTGGTCAGGTTGCCTGCCATCAAACACTCTATCCATCGCAAATATGAAAGGCTGTCACAAATATGATGGTTGATTGGCAAGCTGAGGCCTGGCGTACAGCCACCTTCAGGGTCAGAGGTGAGATTGGCTGGACCTTATTGACCTGATAACTATACAGATTGAATCCACCTGGCAGACTGGGTGGAATAATGGCTGTTCCACCTCGCAGCCTATTCTGCCGCACATAGCTCTATTTTGAAAAAGAAATGGAGTGATTTAATTTTGTGTACTGACCCAGAAACTGAACCATACACCACTATTGAGTCCTGAGATTTTTTTCCTTATGCCCCATTTTCCAGATCCAGGAGGTGTTGAAATTTAACCCTGCAGGCTGACATGCTTCTCTTTCCATAAATTACTTGCTGTTTCTTGGTGGAAGTTGGTGGCGTCTTGATAAATTTCACTTTAACACTCCAAGGATGAATCTCGTCCATCAAAGGGAGATGACATTTTGCTTGACAGGCTCTTACAAACAGCAGATGACAGATTAGGGACGTACTCTGAGAGGTTGAAGTCATGTGCCACTCACATTTTCTGTTTAAACTTAATGCAGAACAGAACCTCGAGAAGCAGAATCTTATTAAAAAAAAAAAAAAGAAAGTCCTGCTAACCTCTTTGAAATGTCACAATCGGGGGGTCTTGACATCAGCTTTATTTCAATAGGACTTCTACAAATCTCACTCTTTCACTTGTCGTTGCTTGTGCTTTGTGAGTCTGTTCTTCCATATTTCAAGGAATAAATAAAATAGTCTCTGCTCAAAATAGAGAAAGGAAATGTATGAAATCATAGGTTACCCTCACCTCTATAGTGTTGAAAATGTTTCAATATGTGTGTGTGTGTTCTTGTCTTAAAACTTCCACACATAAGCAAATGTATGCTGTGCATATCTGTGCACAATGACATACAAAGCTACCTTATATGTTTTCTTTAAGATATCTGCGATGTGAGTGGGAAGGCAACCAAGCAGAGATAGAACCACGAGGACAAAGAGCAGTGTGTGGCAGCAGTGCAGTAGAGAGTGGGGGGCATATAACCGTGTGTGGGCGTGCGTGTGTGTGTGTATCTATAGGTACATGAATTCACATGTGTGCGCAGGCAGATGAAAGGTTTTACTGATGCAGGAAAATTACATTTTTTGAAACCCTGAAATAGATGTATTGGGTCCTATGGGAGTTTCAGGAGACGACGTATGCGGTTTGCATGAGTGAGGATTCCTCTGCTGTCTGTCACGCAGGAGTTTGTGTCACAAATCTCTTTGCTTTCACTCAGCAGAGCACGAGGCTTTGTGCACTTGACAGAAATAATGTCCCATTTACATTTTATGCTGTATCCTAGAATTTTTCCCCAAGACATGCTGCAAATACATTTAAGTCCATTTGCTTAAATGCAGACATTTTTAGCTTTGGACATTTATTAAATTATACTCAGTTTCACAATATCTGAGCTGTGAAACAGATATTGCTAGTTTTAACAATAGACAAAAACAGTACACCAGTTCAGAGCTACAAATAGAATATTCCCATTATAAGAATTATTGTAGTGTGTATTGTAGCACATGAACTATTGCTCATGTGCTATAATGAATGAGCAGTATACAAATTTTGCAACATAACACTTAATTGACTTTTAAAAGTCTGAACCAGGTGCATCATGTACCCCCTACCGGTCAGGTTCTAACACAGTAAGCTGGATTTTTGATCATTTGTTTTTGTCAGAATCTGTCAGACCGTTTTAAACTTTTTTATTTCCTGGCACAAAGCTGCCTTTTAAACATGCATAGTTTGTTCATTCAGTAAGACTGAGGTCAGTCATCCCAAAAGCGTAGCCATCTTAATTCTGTCCTAAACGGGCCTAGACATTTAGGATTATTGTCTCGTTGTGAAAACCCATCATATTAAAGTTTCAACTATGTGACTCATATTTTCCCCCAGCTTGTCTACGGCTGCAGAAAGTTTTGGTGTTTTTATCATTTGTAAAGAAACATTTTACAAAATTCTATTGAGTATAATACCAGACAAGTTTATCTTGAGTACATATACATTCTTCACTCTGATTGCATTTTTGTACTTTTATTTTATCTGCTATGGTTTTACTAATTATTCTCAACCCACTCTATTAAAATATTGTTGCAGAACTTATTTAAGATTAACAAGCTTTAAAAAATTACTTTGCCTTTTGGAATTAGTGTAAATGTAATTATTCATACTTTATATTACAGCACTGTTTAATGCAAAGTACAATGTTCCTGCCAGAGATTTGTCTCTTTTGTTGCTATATCACAGTTTCCACCACAAACATATTTCCTCTGTTCCACAGGTTTCAGAGTAATCTCTAATAAATGCCCATAACACAGTACAAGATGACAGTGCTTTCATTTTTTCCCCCAGCAAGGAGCCACCAAATTGTTCAGAGCGCAGCAGACATGACACACAGTGCCATAAGTCTTGAACGCATGCACACCAACACTGAGTGATTCCACAAGGTTAGGTGACATTTCTGCCTTCAGTGGCGTTGCATCAACATGATAGATTTAAATGGTCCACACCTCAGTGGTCCGCGTTCTGACTCACCTGGAAATTTGTCCTCATGTACCCCAACGTCATTTATATGTCATGGCTGCCATCAGGCAGCAAACACTACGATTGTGCTGTTGTAACACTGAAATATTGTTTGCAAGTTAACGTGTGGAATCTCAGGGAATTCCTCACATTTTTTTGAAGGGTTGGTGTTTTGCAAATAATTACATACAGTGTGGATGAATAATATACTGTACAGTGATGTAATGATAATTATAAAAATGTATGAAGGTGAAAATATTCATACGCCACTTATATTTTTTTTTGTTTGTTTTTGTTTTTTGCATCCACAAACCTCATTGTGTCTAATTAGTAATTAGTAATTTCTCCCATATTAGCATAAAAAAATAAATAAACACACCAGACAAGTGATCGATATGTTTTTTGGAACTTTAAAATGAAGCATATCATGTGGTCGAATGTCCTAATCAAAACCCAAATGGTAATCAGTGGAAAGTCTTAAACTGTTAATCATGCATGTTTTCCATTCAATCTGGTTGAGCTAGACCTTTTTTTTTTAAATGCCTAATTATGCAAAGCTGATAGACAAACCCGAAAAACTTTAATGTATGGCCCGCATTCATTAGACCTTTTATGCTTTTTGTGACACATCCACTATACGTGTCTTTGTGTTGGAAAATTAATTTGTTGTGCCACGGCTAAACGTTCAAGTGTGGGAATATTTGGTTCGGGTACAGAAAGCAGTTTATACACAATGTTGAATACTTGCGAAAGCATTTTGGTGTTAGTTTTCAGTTTTAGAAACTCATCTCTTCCATCTTTTTTTGTCTCTGTTCGCTCCTCCTCCCGCTGCTGCCGTCGCCGCTCTCAAAGCACCCTGACGATCAACAGCCTCAGCCAGGAGGATGAGGCCATCTACCAGTGCATTGCTGAGAACAGCGCTGGCTCCACTCAGGCCAGTGCTCGGCTCACCGTGCTATGGGCGGATGGACTGCCTGGTGAGCCCACCCAGGTGCAGGCCGAGGCCCTCTCCCCCACCACCATTCAGGTGTCCTGGAAGGAGCCCGACCAGAACACTCAGGACATCATCGGTTATGTGCTCCACATTCGCAAGACATCAGGTAGGGCTTCTGGACTGGACAAGAAATGTAACCCGCCTGAAGTCCCAGTTAAAAAATGTAGACGCCTTTGTTGCTGTTTTTAAGAAATATTTTTCCGAGACTCACAACGTGAAGATTTGACACCAAGAATTCCCAATAAAATAACGCAAACTAGACAAATCCAGGTTTTTTTGTTTGTTTTGTATTTATCTTTGTCTAGGCTCATTTTGTCACGCTGACAGTTCTGTTTACACTAAGATATAACTTACTGTGTGATCTGATTTCAAATTTAGAGCTATAAGTAGTTTAAGACAAATTCAGGAAGCACTGATATCCAATCTAGATGAGCTTTAGCATCCATGTTACCGCATCTTTTCAGCACAGTGCAGGTAATTGCACCTTGGGCTACAACAAAGAACATCTAATGTGTCTTAAGAGAGATTCAGCAGAGATCTTCTCTTCACAGGCATTTCAAGAAAAAGTACTATATATACATGAAACTGAGTCTAAATGCATCTCTTGCCACAGACTTCTTGGCTTGTTCTGTCTTTGTTTTTGCATTCAAAGTGAAGACAAAGACTTTGAAAGTACTGCCAAAGCTGGAAGGTCATCCTTTGAGTCCTGGATGCTGATGGGTGTAACTTATGCTGCATGCTTGTGTCTGAGACTTACACTGGTCTGATCTTCGGAACTGGCATTTTAATTCAGATCTGAGCTTGAGATACAGAGCAGGAGGTCGGAAACGTGCGCTGCGCCAACCCTTGACACACATGATGGTGAACATTGGACATTTGACGGCAGTCAGCGATTCAGTCCTTTCTTTAAATTTCAAGAAGCAGAATGAAAACAGGAAAACCCAATAATTATTCAAGTATTTTGTCATACTTTAAAGATTTTGTGCATATTGATTGAAAGGCTTGTCAAAGTCAACCATTAATGTTACTCAACTTTATCTGATATACATTAGAAAAAAGTTAAAGTTGAGAGTGATGCATTGTTAGAGAGTGTCTTACTATGGATGTTTGTATGGAATTACATTTTGATTTCAGGCTTAAAATGATACACATTTGCAATTGAGTCACCAAACACATTTGTCATTTGACTGAGAGTTGTATGGTTCTTTCACACACTGGCACACACACTTTCACTCGTCCAAAAACTGTGAGCCTCACATCTGATGGTAACCTCAGTATTTCTCTAGGATGGGTAATTAAGGGCACCAGGGAGGACCAACCCCGAGGATCTGCTGTAATTACCAGCAGATCGAATGGCCCAACAGACTGAGGAATGGGTGAAGATAGCAGTTATGGCTGGGTCTGTCTGAATTAAAAGCAATAAAAATCCTGTAACCTGTCCACCTTTCCCGTTTACCTCGTTTATCCACTCATCACTCGGCCCTGCAATTTACCCCATCATCGAATGATCACATGACCAAGCTGGAGTACATTTTAACTCACAGGAGAGCCTTTGTAAAATCAAGGAAGTGGACAATAATCACACAAAAAAATAATAATAATTATATATCGCATTTTTACATTATTTTTATTTTCTCTCATTTAATAGAAAACATTTTCATTTTGTCCAGGGCTTATCTCCTAAATTGGAACCTTTCAAAATCAACTCCTTCTGACAGCATCTTCTTTCTCCGCCATCTTCTCCCTTTCAGACCCGCTGGAAATGGAGTATGAGGAGGCGGTCAGTAAGGTGACACTGCAGCAGGTCATCCGTGACCTGGAGCCCTCCACCAGTTACACTTTCTACGTTAAGGCTTACACTTCCCACGGAGCCAGCAAACCGTCAGAGAGTGTTGCAGAGAGCACTCACGGCGAGGGTGAGTTTGACTTGCAGAGGAAGCTCATCTCTCACTATTAAAATCACTTACTGCAGCTTGCTAGAGAGCAGGACTGGACCAATTAGCCTGGGATTACTTCTTTAATACCTTAGACCTGATTTATGAAGTCTGCTAATTTGACAATTGTTAACATCAGATCAAAAAGCTGATTACAGAGATTATTAAACATAGAAGATAATAAATGTGATAAATAGAAATGCAATATATTTTAGACATATTGTTGATCACTTGCATTTGGTTTATTTTTCTAAATATTAACAGACCAAGCAACTTCATTGTTAGAAATTCAAATTATTTATAGATTTAGCATTTTTGTTAGTTTTCAATATGCTGTTGACTAAACTTTTTTTTTTAATTCTTTTTCAACCAATTCCCACCTGCTGCTGTTCTTCTGATCGACATTTTGTTTTGCGTTGCAGTTCCAGCTCCTCCTTCACTTTTCACCAAAGTGTTGAACAGCAGCGTTGTACAAGTAACGTGGGAATCTTCCTCCAAGTTGGGCCAACATCAAGGCTTCAGACTCTACTACAGGAGAGCGCACACACCAATGTTCAATGGTCCCATCCACTTTCTTCGCAACATCACTCAGTACAACATCACTCAACTCGGTGAGTTGGATAGTAATTGTAAATTATGATGCTTTACTGGCGGTTGTTTTTTGTTACATTCAGATATTCTTAAGCTGTTACAGTTGTGAGATGATTTGCCAAAACGTAGCAACCATGGCACAATTTAATGTTTGCCACAGAAAATACTTCGATGATGAGCAAATGTATTTCGACATCCTTAAATTCTAAGTTATAAGACTTAAAGAGGCAGTAAATGTAACACTTCTTGAGACTTTTTGAAAGCTGAAAAGACTTTTCCTGGGACTTTGGCTGCCTTATGTACATTTTAGGCACTCTACTTTCTAAATCTTGGCTAAATGAGAAATCTGATGCACTGATTCTCATTCTATCCAAGGCGATTGTTGTTGTATTATTTTTTAGTGTAGCATTTCCTTCGTGGCTCATCCAGCAGTAACTTAATGTACTGCACAGTACTGCAGTGTAATCTAATGTGCTCAGAAGGATGAAAGTGAGAAGAGAAAAGCACACCATTTTAGAGAAACAATAAAAAAGCATTTCTTTACCATAATAATGCTATTTTTCTAATTGTTTCCCACCTAATCTGTTTTGTTACAGATTAGGAAACATATTCTTTCTTTTCTTGTGACAATAGTTTTAGGATCCTTTTTGGTGTCCTATTATATAACCACTATGAACAAATGTGCAGAAGGCGTTACACACAGAGTGGTATCATGCATTTTTCACAAAGTCTTTAAACATCATCAGTCACAGTTTTTAGACTTATTTTCCTGATGCTAGCATCTCTCATTGAGGTTGTCATTTAAAATAATTTTCCTGCTTAAGAAAAAAACAATATGGATTACATGACTGAATATTGAAACTGAATTTACATGACTAAAGAGCTCAAAAATATCTTATTCTGAGTAAACGTTGGGGGGAAAAAATGAACTCTTTTACTCTCTTCAGATTCTTCTATGGTTTATGAGATAAAGCTTCTGGCATACAACCAACACGGAGATGGGAATGCCACCACGAGATTCATTTCACTTCGTGAGGCGCTGGAAAAATCTGGTGATTTATTTTTGTTTGTGTAACCTCCATAGTCTTAGTCTTCTTTCTGAATATATCAACTTAACCCATCATTTCTGTATTTCACCGTTCCCTTACCAACACGTATTGTGTTTCTTCAGTGCTGGACGGCTCATGTGACTGCGTGAAAGACGAACAGAGCAAAACCTCCACCACCGGCATCATAATTGGAATCCACATCGGTGTGACTTGCATCGTCTTCTGCGTGCTCTTCCTCGTGTTCAGCTACCGCGGCAGGTCAGAATAAACATCCCCTACAATAAATGAAAACAATGGAAGCAACCTGCCCGCATTTTCTAGGGTTAATGTTCATACAGCAGTAAAGTGTGTTATCTATGTGTGTGTTGGTGCAATCTCCAGGCTAATGATGTGTAAGACAGTCCAGGCCACCCCCCAGGCAGGGCACAGCGCAGTCCTGGAATCCTCTTCCTCTTCTCAGGGGGCCTCTGGGCTCAACGGGGCTGCTAGGAGAGAGATGGAGGTCAATGGCAGCGCTGCAGGGAAGAAAGTGGTCGACAGCAACGAGCTTGAGAGACTCTTCACTCAGCCCAGCACACAGGATGCCTGCATGGTGTGTGCTGACAAACAGAGCTATGGCTCAGACTTAAAGTAGAGTTCTTTGAACAAATATTTAATCTGAATTTGCAACATTTTAGTTTTTTTTCCTTTTTTTGTAAGAATAAGAATCAGCCCTACTGAATGAAGACTCATTTCTCCACTGAAAACACACGACCCAAAGTTTCAGTGTGCAGATACAGAATCCCACAAAATTTTAAATGTATTTCATTTGTTTTATTAATAAACTAAAGTACATTTCTCACTACAATAGTGAAAAATGCATCCATGGCCATCAACAGTATGAGGGTGATCTCCACATGATATGGCACTCAGGCACTTTACTTTGTTTTTGTTCATGTATCTGCAATTCCCATTCAAGAAAAAAAACACAGAAATAATGATATCATGATATATTCCAAATACTGAAACATTTTTAAAAAGTCAGTCAGTCATTAATTTAGAGTAATAAGTCTCAAAACAAAGCATTTTGAAAAAAAAACATTAAGTTTAAACATATATACATTTTGTGGAAAAACTTGACATATAAGAAAATGAACTGTAACTTATTTGACTTCACACACAGATCAATAAATCCAAGTAAATGTTTTCATACAAATTTCTCACTTTTCTTTTTTGTCATTTACCCAAATTCTTATTTTCTTAAATATTTTATCTCTGTTAGCATTTAATTCACATATTTATTATTTACCAACAACTGCAGAAACTTTTTTTCTGTCATGATTATTCCTGACAGCAGTCTGGTGTTTTTGTGCATGTGATGGAACTGGTTCACGGTGCTGTTGACACATAAAAAACATGGATTTTCTTTCTGATACACGCATATTTTTTGTCGTGTCGTAAACGTCTGAAGCAGCCAAAATAAATCTTTAACTGTCATCAGGGACAGCCTAATTTTAACACTTCGTCGATTTTTTTTTTAGTCCACGGAGAGTTAAAGTTGAGCTTTTACAAATAAATGTATGAACTAAAAGAGACACAATCACATTGTGATCATATAGCTAAATAATATGCTAAAGTAAAACAGTCTGAAAAAAAATTTAAACTGAATCATTGTGGTGTTTCTGAATATAGTATACAGCCATGTTAGTATTTGACTTGCAACTCTTGTTTGCTTGCTTTTTAGTCAAACTCCTACATTCTGAACAACACCCAGCTGTCGACGATACCGTTGGATGAGTTTGTAGAGGAGAGGGAGACGCCCTTTCAGGAGCAGTCTTCAGTCGCTGCGGCTCAGCCGGACCAAGGCTAATCATGTATGAAGGCCCATTCACATTCGACACTTCTAGTGTCCACTTAGACTTTTCTCTCACTCAGGTCAACAAGTGTTTCTTTTCAAAGTATTCTTTCCTTTTGTGCAAAGAATTTTTTTATGAGTAAGTTAAGAGGTTCTGGAGGATCTGGGACGGTTTATTGGAGTGTTTTATTCATTTTATGGTGTTTGGCAGCACAGAAAATAGAGACCCCTGAATGTCCTTGTTGAAGATGTATTTTTTTGATGATATATGAACTGTCACTGGGAAATTTGAAATAGTCACAAAATTGTATCAGTCAAATTGTGCACACAGGTGTAATTTATGCTACAATTTTTGCATTAAAATATTCTTTAAAATAACCTTAAAATTTCGTAAAACAGACCCGAAAGGAGTGAGTGTTGTAAGGTCTGCTGGATAGTGCTATATAAAAACAATTAGCTGGAGGACCCCAAATATATAAAATGCTTTGTTCTGCTGTATACAAGTGAGATTTTCTGGATTTTGTGACTATTTCACATTTTTCTGAGACCAGACTTTGAGATGCACATGCATACCCGCATTCTGACCCTCTCATCCATTTGTTGAAGCAGTTATAAGTTGTTGGTCTTATCTCTGTGTAACTGTGGATGTCAAAGACTCGCTGCCTGCTCTTAACCACCAATGATTCCACCTTCGTGCTCAGAAAACCTCAACCTTCTTCCAGGGATTCAATATCTTCTGTCTCAGGACTTTGTTTCAGTAATATCAACATTTTTTATGAGTTTTTGGCCTTCATGCAGGTTCTAGACTTGGCTGTGTGAACCTTACAAGTGGATATAAGCCTACCTCAGCCGGAATGAATGTGTTGCGGGAAGCTGTAATGACTTTCCCTTCCCCTGTGCTCATGATCACTCGACAGATTTGGAGGAATCAGTTGGTTGCATAACTACGACATCAGGTGCTGCTCTACCTCAGAAGTCAACAATCGTCTCTCCTCTCCTTAATGATGTAAAAACGGACAAAAGAGCATCCAACGTAAAGCACTTCCAAATGCTGAAATTATCGTTCTACCTCAAGATAACAAAGTTAATGTTGTCACTGTTGTTGTTGTAGTTTGTTTTATTTTTTTATTGCATAATGAAGACCCTTCTTTTTCTCCCTGTGTGAAGTCCCCCCACCCCCACGTGTTGCTGAATATGATGTTCGTAGAGTGTCAGTACCTCATGCAAGATGACAGACGGATAACATTGTATACAATGAGCTGAAAAATATGTATGAACTAAATTGGGAGCTATCTTCCTTTTTATTTAAAGGTCACATGTGTCAATAGTGATAGGTTGAGTGTAAGAAAAGGTTAATTAGAGATACACTGCATTGCTGTTTATATCCTCAAGTATTGAAGTGGAAAAGATCTGATATTTATTGTCAAACTAAACAGGAAGCAGTATATTATCTTTATTGTCTCTTTTTGGGACAATGAAGGCTGTTTCTGTTCTATTCTTCTATTGTATTAATACGCTATAGTTTTGTTTTTAATCTATTTAATCCTATCAGACAGATAATGGGGATTTAATAACTAAAAAAAAAGAAATTATTTTTCTAAAATTACTGGTGATAACACTTTAATGACTAATGTTTTAGCAAGTATTCACTAGAGATGAGAAGGTCAATGCTACTCTTTTATCTATTTTTCCATCCGTTTTTGTCCAGCTGGCAATCTGAGAAGTTGAGTCAGTATAACTGGGCAACAACGTTTAACAACAAATATGTAACTAATTATACTAGATCTCTATGTTGTTGGTTCGTAAAAGAAGGAGCAGCATCTCAGAACACCAAGCTCAAATAATTTACACAATATTCAAACGTTTTAACTTTGTCAAACAAAGTTATTGCGATTTTATGTGAATCAACTAGACAAAATAGTGTATATTTGTGGGGTGGAGGAAAAATAATACACTGCTTTGAAAAATCTGAAAAGTATGGTGTGTATAAATATTCAGTGCCTGGGCTCCAGATTTTTTCATCAGTTTTCAAACCCTTCCTACAAATTTTGAGTTATAATTAGACTTCGACTGAACTGATCAAAAACATTAACATTTCTCAATTTAGACATTTCTATTGTAACTCTGACTAAATGTTGTCAACTCTGACTAGTTCCTGGTAACAAACTAGTTCCTGGTAACAAAGGCGAACTGCTAGAAGAAGCTTTCTTTCTACAAAACCCTGTTTTGTTTTAGCTCACAAAATCCCATTAATAACTACACAAATCTGGTTGTGAAGTGATCAAACTTGAAAAGGTTTAAGGGCGTTGTAGGTAGTTTTAGCTGACCATAAAATGACTTAGCTTATTTTAGCTTAAAGGTAGAAAAAAAAGGAGGCGGTTATCATATATCAACATAATCTATCCACCACCATCACTAATCTTGTTTTCTTTTGTGTACATCAATAGCATATAAAGAGTGGCATTGATCCCTCATCAAAACTAGAACCTAAATGTGGATTTTTATCAGCTTTTGTCAACAACACACATGTGATTGTGATATTTTAGAAAAAGACCAAATATGAGTTTCCAAAAAAGAAAATAAAAATAATCGTATTTTTCACAATTCAGATTGACAGCAGTGTATCTCTAACATTTATACATATTTGTTGCTGCATTTTTTGGTTATGTTTTTTTATTATTTTTTTTTTTTCATCTTTTGCATTATATCACCTGGCAATTTCTTAAAAAAAAAAAAATCGGTAGCCTTCTACACATCTGGTGCTCAGTAGATGAAAAATATTCCATGTCTTGTTCATCTACTGTAACTCAGCCCAAAACCACCACAGCTGCTCATCCGTCTCCCTCCAGACACTTCAGGATCACCTGCCTTTTTAGACTCAGATGACTTCAGACAGAGAGATGGCTGAATGAAACATTCATATAGAGATTGTTGAGTAGCTAAACAATCACTGGGCCTCTCTGTGCAGCTCAATGCTCTCCGTCATCACAGATGCATTTCGGTTACCTACCTCAACACTGTTATTGGCCTTTTTCTCAGGTCCTAATAAAAGAAACTATTGAATATGAACAGTAAAGCAGTGAATTTTAGTACATAGACTAACACAAAACCAATACACAGCCTCACAAGTGGAGGGAGAACTTTTCAGGACCTTTATGTCAAGCACTAACCATGTCAACACTTCATACTTCATTTCTAGTTCTAGATGTGAATGTGCTTCACTTCTTCTTTTTTTCTTTTTTAAACTTTATTTTCTCTCACTTGTGGTGTACTTGTGCCAAGAAAAGTGAGAAAACGAATGGGTGACACAACTCACACAATTCCACACGATTGGTTTATTGATTTTCCTCTCTGGCTAAGACTGACTTATGACCTTAACTTGACTAAATTCAGATTATTTATAAGAGTGGGAAAATAAAGGAAAAAGAAAAACTTTCCTCGTAACTCAGAATGCAAAACAACCCAACAAAGTTCTTCTTTTAACACAATTTTCCAAAAATGTGGAAAGTGGAGTTGTACCAATCCCCCTCTGCAGTCATTTTCACATGTTATGCAAACCAGCACTTCTGTACTGTATATGTGGTTACCATCTCAGTAATGTTATAGATCGTCTCTTGCTGTATGCCTTTTAAGTTATGTACACTTAAATCTCTGCGGACGCTCTTGCATATGTTTCTTGTACCTAATTGTTGATATCACATTGGATGTGCTAGGGGGGAAAATGCAGTAAACTGTCAAAATAGTCGATCAAATGTTGAAGTTAAATGTCTGCTCTGTGTGTATTTATTAGCCACCAATGTGATATTTTCCCTCCAGGCTGCTTGCAGTGAGAATCAGTGTTTTATTTAACCTCTATTGGGAGTAGTTTCACTAGGGATATGAGTAGTGTGATTCTCTTCTGTACTTCGTTTCCCCGCCCCTCATTGTGAATGAAGGTTAATCTCTTCCTGCAGGAAATTGCCCACCCTTGTGGATGTGACAGGTCTGAGTGCCATGCTATTTAGCCTGATCCACCAGGTCTTTGGTTCAACGGCGATCATGTTTGCGTGATTAGACTGTGATAGGTCAGGCTGTCATGTTGCAGAACGACATTAGAACTCGCCTGATTTAATGGGTGGCTCGGCGCTGTCATCACAGACTGACTGGGGCTGTTACTCCATCAGCATAGGAGACCCTATGACTCTTACTGACACCTTAAGTAAAAAGTGGAGATTAATCTCGTTTAAGCTGTTTTACAGTCTGTTTGCATTATTTGTCCCTCTTTGTTTGACAAACCTTGAGTTTTGGTGAGAGATTGTATGCTCAGGAATTATAGATCCTTGCTCTGATAACTCAAACTTGACTTCTTCCACAATTCTGCAATATGTTCAGGTCAAAATGATTTTCTGTGAAGTATGACTATTTTTGTTGGATATTCAAGTAAAGAAGAAACAATTTGGGAGAATAATGAGTCAGTTCATATATATTTGTATTCATCTGCCTCTGCAGCACGTCTAAGGAGGGGCATGCCCTCGCATCAGGTTATACAAAATAATGTGACAAGCAGTAACATTCACAATGACAATTTAGATTTTTTTGAAGTAATCTGAAATGTAGCTTTCTGGTGTCTTTTGGGTCTTAGACAAAATATATTCAGGTTTAGAATTCAAGAGAGGGAAAAAATTAAGTTGCTTTAGAAAATTGTTAAAAGCTTAATTATTTTTTTACATAGCAAGTACTAGAAAAGTTGATGTATAATCTTTAAATCATTATAAATAGACCACTGTGGGCTGGGTGTTCACAGGGTTTGTTTCACTTGGAGTAAGCTGATAAATGTGGCTCTAACTCATTTTCCTTGAGCATCTATCTCTCTCCTGATGTGCATCATCTGAACACAAAAGCAGATCAAGTCAGAAGGAAAGACGAAAGGCTTAGTTTAGCTAAATTGGTAATGCACGTCTGTAAGTAATTCTGTTCTCAGTGTCATAGATGTGTGTGAAATCAGATACATATATATAAACAAAAAATCTTAAAGCTCACACACAATTCAATCACCCCTTTTCCTTGAAAGATCCTTGACTTTAATCAAACTGCTGCCAAATGACCTTGATATGATTGTGAACTGCTAACAAATCCAATGAATTTACCTGCTTGCAGACTTTTTACCCAAAAGACCACACATTGTTTAAAACTTATCTTGGGTTTCAAGACTTTCTAAAGTAATTTGTCGTCAGATGGTGATTTACAGTCATTGTTCTTCAATGTTTGAGAGCATTATTATATTTTTTTATACTTCCTTCACGAAGGCAGATAGATCCAGTGTATTTAGAGGTAGTGGGCAAAGTAAACTCTACGGTAGATCTGCATGGAAAATATAGAATAAAAGAAAAAGAAAAAAAAAAACAAGAAGGCAAATGTGTTATTTTAGCTCAATTAAAAAAGTGTTAGTTAATTCTTATTGGATTTGTGATGGTAACACTGTGATATTCAGCCAAATGATGGCAAAAGTAATGTTGTGATCTCAGTATGGTACTAATTGATGGTCCTGTCTCACATCGTCAGTCAATCTGTTTTAATGGTGTGTATTGATGAAAAAAGGCTGAGTGACCTTTTCAGTTGACAGAGTCTGTCTTGCCCCTCGTTGGTGCCTGATGATCACCTTATCCTCATCCTGTTCCCATCTGGCATCCTGTTCACATGTTTGTCTCGGGGTGAGGTCCTGTCAGTCTTCTTGCCTTTTTCTTTTTTTCTTCAAAAAATAGCACATTAGTGTTCATTTTCCCCTCACACACACACACACACACACACACACACACACACACACACCATCTTTGCTTGAGGAGAATGTCTGGGTTGTATTGATGTTACCAACGTGAGCTAAAGCCACTCTCCACGCCTCAGAAACAGGGAAAGAGCTCCTGGGTAGAATTTGCTCTACAAGTGTGACCATCTACACAACACCTGTCCTTTAAATTTAAAATCAAAGGTTTAAGTCAATAACAGCCTCCTGGTGAAAACCTCTGAATACTGAGGCCTCTATGAAAACAATAGAATAACGATGCTAATCCAACATGGAAAGAGAGAATTCAAATATGCCCTAAAGGGAAAAGATTATGTCAATAAGTTGTCAGCATAACTCGCAGGAGTAGGGAAAATTGATCTGATGTAACCCATTGCTCTTAGGTTTACTCACCAAGAGTTATACATACAGCATTCAACAATTTATTAGGTTAACACAATCATTAAAGTTGCAAACTTAACTTTGAATTTGTAAAATTGAAACTTTTTACGTAGTTGTGTCTACCTCCAGTAGTAAGAAGTCATTAGCGGAAATGGATGATTACCTATAATAAGATTAGGTTATTTGGTAATCTTAAACTTTGTACAGGGATTAATGGTGGCTGCAAGTAAAAACATTCATTTCATCTATGCAGTTTATTTTTTTACTATGTCCTGCAGGGTTCAAACATGGTGCCAAACTGAATACAGAAAATATACACTGTGCATGTCAAACTTTTATCTCTCTGATCAGCTTCACCTGAGGAATGAGAAGGAGACAAATCTTTATATTTAACCCATCATCATACATAGAAATGTCTGCGTGGCAGATTTTATTTTTTTGTTGGTCTGTCTTGTCGTGTGTCTGTCTGCTGAGGTCACTGCCAGTATCTGCTTTTCACCCACAGTTCGATTCAGGTCAGTACGAAATGTTTTAACCAGTGTTCTCAGAGCATTGTCAGGGATCTCTACTGTGTTTCCATAAAGTTTTGTTTTTACACTCTCCTTAAGCCAGGGTGTCACACCTCTAAATTATAAATCTCTATACATATCCACATATACTCTATGTACTGTATGTGTGTATGTATAAATGTAAAAACAAACAAAAAAAAACATTTTTAGTGGTTTGTATTGTTTTAGGGTTCATTGTGCAACACTGATTTAAGGGGAAAAAAAACAATATCAGTGATAATAAACTAGTTCTAGTATTAAAAAGCTTTGTGTTGGTCTTCTTTCGTCTGTATACTTGCGTGCCTTGTGGAAAATGTAGTAATTTGCATGAAAAACTTGTGTTTGATTGCTTTCTTCTAGTGGTCCACAGAGATGCAGCTGATCAATGCAATGCACTTTTATGGTCTCCCTCTTGTTTCCACCTTTCTGTT